GCGGAGATAAAGAGCAGGTGACAGGAGAGGACCAGCACAGACACTGGGCGGTGGCAGATGGGTCTGGGTAAAGGGGCGGGGACCAGGGGGCCCTGGGAGGGACCCCAGTGGACACTAACTTCGTCTTGAGTTCCTTCTGCTTCTTCTCCTTGGCCTTCACAAAGGCCGTGGGGTCGAAACGGGTCATGCGACCACCTGAGGCAGAGGAGGAAGTCAAAGGACCTCAGCTCCCAGCTCCAGCGCCCCCCACCCCAGACCCCAACCCTAGGCTGGGCGGCACCGACCTGTGGGCGAGGGAGACGGGTGGGTGGGGCGGCCCCGACCCCGGCCCCCGCGGCCGCTCTCCCGGGATGAAGAGCGGGTGGCGCCGCGGCCGCGCGACGTGGAACGCTCCCTGGAGTCCCTGGACGAGGGTGGAACCACGGGCGGTGTCCGCCTCCTGGGGGGGTCACAGGGCCCGTGGTCAAGTTCCCACCACCTGGGGAGGCCCAGCTTCAAGGCACTGTCTCCACCTAACAGAGCCTAGATGCTCACGCGAGCGCCAGCGCCATCCCAGCTGTACCCCACCCACGGGTTCCCTACAAAACACTCACCACCCGCTCAATAAACGCCCGCAGGGGGCCCCCCCGGGACCCCTGACCTGCGGAGCGGCCACCTAGCTCTCACACCTGTTCCCCACAGCCCCTCCCTAGGCTCCACCTCCCCATGCCCTGCCCTTCTTCTGACAGACCCCGCCCCCACTCCAGCATTGAAGGCTTCCCCAATCCCACCTGCCCATTAGGCCCCGCCCACCTCCGACCCCACTGGCCCTCACGATCCCATCTAAGCCCCGCCCCATCATCCACTCACTATGAAAAGGTGCCACGATCATGGAATCTCCATAAACTATTGGAGGCCACGTCGTCTAACTCCAGGCTCAGCCCTGCCTGCGCAGACTCTGCCCACCCTCCCAGGCAAAGCCCACCCTATCCCAAGCTCACCAGCAGGTTCCAGACCAGGGTCCCTCCCACCCGCAGGTCCGGGGCGCCCACTGGGCCCCAGGCCGGCCTCCCCTCACCCGCTCTTGTACTGGGCCAGCTCGCTGTTCAGGGTCCGCAGCCGCGCCCGCAGGCTCCGCTCTGACGCCCTCACCTCCTCGAGCTGCCAGGAGGGGACAGGGGTGCAAA